CGGACTTGGTTACATGTATGTGTGGTCCATTGACCTCATGTCACTCGTCAGTGAGACTGTGTTCTGATTTGCTGTTTCCCAGTCATTTTGTTCCTGCTCTTCAGATTATGTTCTTTTTATGTTTCCAATTTTCCATGAAGCCCTTTTTGTGAATATTTCATTTCAGAAATGATACTTTCCATTGGTTTTTAAGTCCCCAATATGTAATTAGTAGCTTCTTTGAAGTCTTTCTCTGCTAATGAAGCATTTGATCACTCGGGTGCATTTTCTTTTGAATAATTTTTTTTCTATTGCCTTTGTTTCATTGTCCTGTTTCTGTAAATGATTAGTAAATTTTGATTATATGGCAAACACTGTGAATGATACACTGTACAAACTCTGGAATCTTGTTATATTCTCTCCTAGAACTGCTGATTTTGTTCTAGCAGGCTATTAACTTGACTGGACTCAAACCATTAACCAATCCTATCTCTCCTAAAGGGGGTATTAGAACAATTTTTAGCTCATTTGTCTTACCTTCACAACTGTTAGCTCCTGTATACTATTTGTCATTTCCCCATTATGTTCATGTGAACTAGAAAAACATTTGCCTTCAGTTGGGTGTTCCTCTCTCTAGTGTTCTTTTTGTTCTTGTGCTAGCCCTCCTCATTTTCCATCTGCTGTGGCACCCTTAAACTTTATTCTTTGATCACAGGTGTGCCGAGGCCACTATACAACACACAAATCTGTAGGTTCCTTAGGTCTCTCCCTGTGTAGTTCTCTTTGCTTAAGGTGATGCTGTTCTAATCTCTGTCTTCTTCAACTTATTGCTTATTGCTTTCAACTTATTACTGTTAGTATTTTGTTTCTAATTTGTCATTACCATCTGCACAAGATAATAATGATATAGGCTACTCCACCATTACTGGAAGCCTAACACATCTGTAGTTTCAGGGTTTTTTCAGAGTTTAGGGTTCATATTAGCAGCTATTTTCTTTCATTAGAGTTTTCTACTTAAAATACAGTTACCTCTGACAGGACAACCCCATTGCTGATGCTGACTAGAAAATAGGCAAGTGTAGAAATCATGGAAAAGATGATGGGGAATCCATGCAGATTCTGCCATGGGAAGAAAGTAGGAGGGAGGAATGTGAAAAGAGGGGTGAATAACATCAAATTCATTTCTTTGCCAGTCTTTGGACTTGAACCCAGGGCCTGGGCACTGTCCCTGAGCTTCTTTTGTCCAAGATTCTACCACTTGAGCCACAGCACCACTTCTGGCCTTTTCTGTTTATGTGGTACTGAGGAATCGAACTCAGGGCTTCATGCATGCACTCTACCACTAAACCACATTCCCAGCTCCTCAAATTGATTTTTAAATGTAACCTTCCCTAAGGGTAGCCCCACATGGATGAGATTATCTCTGGAGAAGGGATGGAAATGGGGACTCTTTTCGGACCTTAGTACAACTCTGAAGTTAGGCAACTTGGTATTCAAAAATCTCAAAGGATGTTCCTACCCAGAAACCCCATTTCAGTTGTTTCTCTGCCGCAGGCAGTCCAGGGCACTGTTAAGAAAGCAATGAAAAGCTGCAATGGATATAAAGGCATAGAAACTCACCCCATGGAGCAAGCCTACAGTCTTGGGAAGAACAGGTTTCAGAAGACACCTCCCCAACAAGTTCTTGACTTGAGTCTTGGAGAGTCAGTGAAAGAAAGAACCCACAGGGATCCGGGCACAACCTGCAGGGTAGTTCAGCATTAGTCACTCCGTAGGGCAAATGCCAAAACTTTTATCCATAATTGTATAATTGATTATATGTACCTAGCATACAGGCATTTTTTCTTTGCATTGTGTAGGTAAATATAGGGGACTGAAATTTTTTTAAGTGTGTTAAAATCTATTCACACTCTTTTTGTGAGCACACTTTTGTTCCAGTTTTCAATAGAAGCTGCAGCTAATGATGGAGCTTTGCCATGAGCTGGAAGGAGCCAGAGGTCACAGCTCAGGTGGTGGGGAATGGGACAGCCCCCACATTGAGACTTCTTTAGAAACAGGACTCCCTTGGATTCTGTAGGCACCCAGAGACACACCAATGAGCACTGTACACCACATAGGGGACTGGAGAGCGTATGACATCCTTGTGAGTTTATTAGGACTCCTGAAGAGGTCCTTCAGGTCCAGATTTAGTCTACAGAACAAGTTTTCCTCGATTGAGACTTACAGCTATCAGAAAGACAAGAAGGTGGAGGGTAGATGCTGTCCAGACCTTAGGCCTTGGGTTCCTACAAAGATACTTGTTTTCATGTGAGAAGGCAAAGATGTGCTTAGAGAACATGGTTGGCAACATGGTTTTCCTTCTGGATTTTTCCATGGATTATTTTATTTTAACCAGGGGTGGGGAATGTATATTCAGAAGGGCAAGTTACTTCTCCTAGTGGTGATAACATTCTGTTGTCACACATTTCCCCTGGAATGTTGTGCAAAGAGGACCCCTTGCCATCTGTGCACACTACAGTCTTAGAGGGAAGACATTCCTTTGAGATTCTGGATGTTTTATCAGTTACCTGGCAGCAGTTTGACTCCATCAGGCTTAGGGGATGAGGGAGTTCTGTTCAGCCATTCTGTGATTGATAACAGTGACCCTAAAGAGAACTGTTTGCACAGGAGCCTGTGATTTCAACACCTACCTGCTGCTGGTGCTGTATTTGTTCATGGATGGGAACACCTGTGCAGAATGAGCAAGTGCTTGCTGTGTGCTGTGCTCTGGCCCCAAATTGGATTAAAATGTTAATGGCCTCCATTGTAGATGGGAAGACTAAGTCCCAGTGCTGATAGGTATTAGGGTGAAGTTTTAACCGTAGGCCATCTTGACAAGAAGACTTAGCTCTCTTCCTCTTCACCTTATCACACATTTGTTAGCATGAAGACATTTGGGATATGAAGCATGAGCAGAACTCAGACCTCCCATGTGAGCCAAGCCCATTTGTTAACCTTTGTACCCCCATCAGTGGGCATCTTTTGCCTCAAGAGTCTGCTGGCTCTGCTGGCATCTGGCAGAGATCTTTGTATCAGCTCTTGGGAGAAGGACCCACAAAGGTGTGACCGGTCTGACTCTTGACCTTCCACCTACTCCTGAGTCCTCTGCTGTCAGTGGCCTTGTCACAGCCACTTCATTCAACCTTAGGAGAAGCAAGAGTGAGCCTCTGGACTACTTCAGGCCCATAGGATAGAAACTGGATTCTCTCTTGGGGCTTCCCCACTGGGGCTTATACTCTCCTATACACCCCTGTACACTCCCAGCACTTCCTAATATTGGTCTTTGAATTCGCTACAGGTGACTAGATCCTTGGAGGTAGTATCACAGTTCCTCTAGTTATCCTTTCCCAGTTTGTTGACACATGATGGCAATATCTAATTCCTCCCTTCAGACTGAGACTCCCTGTCATCCCCAATGGACGGTCAGTCCCTTCTTCTTGGAAGGTAGAGGCATTTCAATGGGAGATTCCATCCTTTGATTTCCCAATTTTCTTTGAGCCCCTTTGGACTCTGCTGCTCTCCAGGTCAGCACCTACCTGTAAGAGGCCAGAACTATGCTGGTATCTTCTGCCACCAAATCATAGCAGTTCAGAAGCACCAGCCTGAGTGGACAGTCACGTGGGTGTTCCAATTGGTGTCTGCTTCACCACCTTGGGCAAGTTAATGAACCTAACAATGTTTATTCTTACCTCCAAAATGAAAGAGCTCAAAATTCTTGGGGAATACTTGAGAACATTCAGACAATAATCTATGCCCTCAATAAATCACTTACAGTTGTGGTTAACCCCAAATTCAAGAAAAGGAAAGCTTTTGTACTTGTACTTTTGAGTTCGGTGCTAGCCTTGGCAGTTGGTAGCCCAGGTTAACCATCCCTCACATTCTCCTGGCACCCTTTCTCTCCATTGCCTCCTTTGATCATCACTGAGCAACAGGATACCCAGGCATTAGGAGGTTGCTACATCTTGGAGATGTAAGGTGGTGACTTGGCAGCACTTGGACCTTTTGGTTAGGACACAGCTGCTTGACTACCTCATCTGTTGCTTTTGACAGTGAGCACAGGTAGGGACAACTAAACTGTTCTTTCAAGCCTGTGATGGTGGTCGGGGATTTGAACAAGTTCTATTTCTGCCCCACTGCCATTTTTTTTGTTTTTGTTTTTTGTTTTAAATAGAATGATAGGGGACATGATCATGAGTCAGATTTGGTAAGGTTCCAACAAAGATTTTGGCATTGCGGATGGAAGACCAGATGTGTTTATAAAGCTAACTCATAAGAAAATTGAGGAGCAAAGTTGACAAAGTTTTTTTTTTTGGCTTTTAAAGAATGGCTAAAAGGGCGGACAGACATTCTGACATTAATATTAAAGGACACTATTAAATATTAGCACCAGCTTTGACACAGCTCTTATTCTGTTCCTTTCCTTCCCTCTGTATTTTCTTTGTATTTCTCCCTTCATTTTTCATTATGTAGGAGTTGTAAATGTGAATTAGCTAATATCTGAGCCCTTTTTTCAAGTGTGAGAATTTGGTCACTCTGAGCAAGAAAAGCTTTCTAGATAAACAATGTGTTGGTTTTCGTAAGAAGAGTGCACTTTTTTAAGTAAGCATTTATCTGATTTCCATGAGAAGTCAGATTTTTTTTTAACAGTGTCTGGGATGATTTGATTAGAGAGACTAGTGGAAAGGCTGTGGGATAGAGGTAAAGATGAAGCAGGAACCGCTTTCTGTAGGTTCATCATGTTTTCTGAACTTTTATATCTGCTTGGAATTTCTCATAAGTTCAAAAGAGACGCTCAATGTAAACAATTACAATGCATTGAAATAATTGGATAGCTCTTAAAATAACATGTATGAAGAATTTTAATAAAATTATGTAAGGAGATGAGGACATCAACCATCCTAATGTGTCACCTTATTGACTGGTAACTTCTGCTCATCATGTTCCTTTAACATGAATTTCCGTCTGCTTTCAGCGAGCTGGACATGATTTCCACAAGGGTGACGGACATTAAGCTTCGGGATGCAGCGGAAAGCCTTGGGGAAGATGGCACAGGTGAGGCCCTGCTTCCTCTGCTCTGGGAAGAGCCCTGGGGTTGGGGTGAATGAGGGGCTGATGGACTATGCACTTACTGGGAGTATATCCAGTCCCTAGCATGTTCAGGTAGGCCTTATCCTGCACTGTGACCCCAGGCACTTTCATATTACTTGTGGGAGGGACTCCCTCTCTTCTCTGTCAAACATGGAGACTTTGGACAGCATTTTCCTCTTACTGGAGGTGAATATGTCTCTGACTTGAAAGCAAAGGAAACAGTGCTGAATGGATTCATTTGTCCAAGAATGTCCCAAGGCATCACTAGAGGCCTTTACAGGATGACCTGATTATATAGAAAAAATACATAAAAAAACAGCCTTTGAAGTTCTCTCTCTTGTGACTTTTCTCCTTCAGGAGGTCTTTGTTGTCTTCTGAGCGAAATTCCAGACCCGTGAATCATTATCTCAGAGCAAGGTCCAGGATTACTCTCCTATGTGACTCGTCCACTGTTATCCACACAGTGCTATTTAAGGCTTGATAGACTTGTGAAATTGAGATTAAAAGCCTTCAAGCTCCACATAAAGTCCCTTTTCCTAGATTAGATATTTGTATGGCTCTTGCTTTGCTATCACAGGCCTCCATCTTCTTCTTTAAAGTCAAGATGCCAATAATGATTTTCTGTGATGTAGTTCAGTTAAGAAAAGCCTCCGTCAATATTAAATCCTAGCTACTAGCCATTAGCTTCAGACTCCCTTTCATATGTTACAGATGAATTTTTCTTATTATTCTGTATAAGAACCACTTTCTCCAAATGTAAAGGTAGGAAAGTAGTTTCAAATTTCTCATAGTATGGGACACAGAGAATTATTGCTTACTTTAAGTCAGAAAATATTCTTTGAACAAGTATTTTGTTCTCTGAAATAACCTTGGTAAATACTAGTTCTGGATACTTACACAGTCATCATGAAGAATCAATTTTAGAAGAAGGAAAGAAACTAAATTTTCTCCATTTCAAATAAGAGTGAGCTTTAAGTATTCAGACCAACCCTCTCCACTTAAAATAAACAATTTTAGATAATAACATTCTGGGGCCAGAATAGAAAGAAATATTGTAACCCAAAAGAATAAGGGAGCACTTTGCCCTCAGATCATATTGAAATTTTGAATTTCATTTTCATGTCTTTGTGGGGTCATAGGTGAGAGGGTCAGGAAACAAAGTTGGGGGTATATACAAGGTGCCTCTCTTGTAGAAGACCTTTCTACAATAATCTGGGAGCCCACAGAGATAGAAAATTGGAATAGATGTGAACTAGGGATAGCTAAGCCCTCATTTGGATTGGTAACTTCAGTTTGTGTCACTTGGTAATTAATTAGGAGAACTTCAAGCCCTAAACTTGATTCAATTGTGTTCCTAGACTGTACACACCTCAGGTACATTGCAGAAGCAAACAATCTTCTCAAAGGGAAACCTCTGTCTAAACTTCAAATTACTATAGAACATAGTATTTTCAATTCCATGACAAGCATGTCATTAATGATAACCAGGTGTGTAAGGCAATAAGGCATCATAAATGAAAACCAACATGCTGTGCATTGAACTGTGTTCCCAGAATTTATATGCTGAAGTCCCTAGCACTTCCAAATGTATCCTTATCTGGTATTAGTTAAAATGAGTTATGTGGAATAGGGTGGTCTTACAATACAATGGCTGAGTCTTTATAAAAAAGGAGATATTTACGAGGATTCTATATCCATGAGGATATAAGCAGAGGACTTATGGGAGTTGGGGCAAGAGACCAAGAAAAGGGGTATAAGAGAGATGAGTAGTGAATAAGATCAAAACACATTGGATGCATGTGTGGAATTGTCATAATGAACCCCATTATTTCATGCAATAAAAATACAGCATATAAACTTTAAACAAAATAACAATGGGGGGATTTGAAGATAGACACATGGGGAGAACATCCCTGAAAATGTAGGCAAAGAGTGGGGTGATGCATCACTATTGTGTGCCTCTCTACAAGAGGTCAGAGCTCAGATAAGAAACAGATTTCTTTCCATCTCAGCCCTGAAGGATCCACGTGTGTCTGCACTTGATTTCAGCCTTCCTTCCTCAATAATTAGGAGACAATTTATTTCTATTGTTTCAATTACCCAGTTCGTGGTGGTTTGTACCACAAAGCATATTTCTTAGTTTTGCCAACAACCTTGGCCAAGTAATAAATGCAGAAATAAGAGAATTCACATAAAGTTACCAAATATCAGGATTAACAAATACACGCAATAGAGTACTTTGCAAGGTAATAAAAAAAAATGTTTGAAACCATCTAGAAGTTTCAGGGAACCTTAAAAAGTGGCATAGAAAACAATCCTGTGCAATAAGTTAAGAAAAAGAAAGGGTTAAAAAAAGATGGAAGGAAGAAATAACACTTTTCAGATTGTTAGTTGCTTTTTGCAGCTAACCAAAATGTATAAGAAAGTACCCAAACTCATATATTTGTACATACTAGCTAGCAAAGAACAATTGAAAATTGAAAATACTTAAAAGTATTGTTTACAATAGCACAAAAAATTGAGATCCTTCAATATATATCTAAATATATAAGTGTAGTGAGTTCTAGACCACCCTAGATTACATAGAGACTCTCAAAAAGATTAGTTAACCCACAAATAATTGATTAAAGAAATTAACAAGGACTGAATATATGGAGAGAGATATTGTACTTTTGGATTGGAAGACTCACTGTTGCAAGATGTTAATTCTCCTAAAATTGAGTTGTGACTGTGTACGTCTAGGTACAGTGCACTGTTTAAAATGCAGCTATGTGTTAGGACATGGCTCAAGTGGTAGGGGACTTGAATAGCATGTGCAAGGCTCTGGGTTCAATCCCCAGTGCTGGGGGTTGGGAGAAGAGCTATGAAGCTCAGATAAACAACTTGGGATTCTTGACCAGTAACAACTGGTTTGACTTGACTTTCATAAAGGTTTAAAGATTTTTATTTAGGAAGAGGTTAAGTCTATGTAGATAAAATGATGGTAATGCTGAAATAACCTAGGGAGAATGGCAGGAAGCAGATAAATGTGAAACAATCAAAATCCCATCTGGACTATTTGCAGGCATTAGAAGCTGTTTCTAAAACTTATGTGAAAAAAGAAGGAACTAACATAGGACAATTTTGAAAAAAGAACAAAATTTAGAAAGTCACAATACTTGATTTTTTTTTTTTTGGTCAGTAGTGGGGCTTGAATTCATGGCCTAAGCGCTGTCCCTGTGCTTTTTTTTGCTCAAGGCTAGCACTCTACCACTTGAATCACAGCGCCACTTCCAGTTTTCTAGTGGTTTATTGGAAATAAGAGTCTCACTGACTTTCCTGCCTGGGCTGGCTTTGAACCACAATCCTCAGATCTCAGCCTCCTGAATATCTAGGATTACAGGTGTGAGCCACCGGTGCCTGGGCCACTTTTGATTTTTGAGTGGTTAATTGGAGATAAAAATCTCACGGGGACTTTTCTGCCCAGGCTGGCTTCAAACCATGCTCCTCTAGCTCAGCCTCCTGAGTAGTTAGGATTATAGGCATGGGCCACCAATGCCCAGCTTGTATGGTTCTCTTTTCTTTTTTTTTCTTTTGGTGGTTATTAGGGTTTGAACTGATGATTTCACACTTCCTATGCACTTTACTACTTGAAAAAAACTCCCCAGCCCTTTTTGTTTAGTTATTTTTCAAATAGATACACTTTTTGCCAGGGTCCAGCCTGGGATTATAATTCTCCTGTCCCTCCCCTTCTCCTATCCCTTGTAGCTAGGATTACAGATATACTCTATCATACCTGGATTATTCTGGGATATAGGGTCTCACTAAGTTTTTGCCTCAGCTAGGGTTGAACCAAGCCTCATATCTCTGCTTTTCTCTCATACATGTATGAATGCTCACACATGACCCTTATAGTTCTACATCTGCATTGTGGGGATAATTATGCTATTCTATGCACACTTCTTCAGAAAGAGTGACTTTTTTTTTACTGAATTTTAAAAATTAGAAGATTTTAAGAACAAAGGCATTTCTAAAAGTAAATATAACCACTAAAATTTCAATGTGGGGTTACATTAGCTTGAGATCCCAATAAATTAATCAGAATATAGGATAGCATGAGGAAATAATGAAGGGAAAGACAAAAGGCATAGATGTGTATAAGGCTGTAGTGTACATTTAGCAGAGTCTTGAGAGGAAAGAGTGGCTGAGAATGTTCTGGAATTGGTAAGATGATGATGATGGTGATGATGATGATGATGATGATGATGATGATGATGATGACGACGACGATGACGACGACGACGACGATGATGACGATGACGACGATGATAATGATGATATAGATGGCCTGGTCCTCAGATTTAATGAACAAGGAGGATAAGTAAAAGATAACACATGCAGTGTGTGTCTGCAAAAAACCCAAAATAAAAATCTTAAAATTAGTACAGGAAAAAATTAGTAACTGGCATCTTAATGCAACAGAACCCAGAAAACAATGAAATAATAGCTTTAGTATATTCTTAGAAAAAAATTAACTGCTGACCTAGAATGCTTCACCTAGGACACAGCTTTGGTTCTGCTAATCACTGGAAAAAAAGGAGCAAATAATTAACATGAGGGAGGAGAAGGGAGCCACCAGTACAGATACTGTGGATTCTAGAACCATAAGAAAATATTAGTGCTGGAGGATCTTAACCCTCAAAAATCAGTGGTTTTTCTGTATGCCAATAATGAGAAGAGGAAGGCTGAAATCAGGAAAGCAACTACTTTTGTAATATCCCCCCCACCAAATAAAATACCTAGGAATTAACCAAAGACGTGAAGGACCTCTATGATGAAAACGTTAAAAACCTGAAAAAGGAAATGAAAGTCGAACTAAGGAAATGGCAAAGCCTCCCATGCTCCTGGATTGGGAGGATCAACATCGTGAAAATGGCAATACTTCCAAAGGCTATCTACAAATTCAGTGTAGTACCCATCAATATCCCAACATCATTCTTTAATGAAATAGAAGAAGCAATCCAAAAATTCATATGCAATAATAAAAGACCCCAAATAGCAAAAACAATCCTTAGCAGAAAGAACAGTGCTGGAGGAATATCAATACCAAACTTCAAACTCTACTACAAGGGAATTGTAATCAAACAGCCTTGTACTGGCACAAAAACAGACATGAGGACCAATGGACTACAGCTGAAGACCCAGAAATGAACCTGCAGACCATGGCCATCTAATCTTTGATAAGGAAGCCAAAAATTAGGATTGAAGAAAACTAAAGCTAGACCCTAATAATATCATCCTGGACCAGAATCAATTCCAAATGGATCAAAGACCTCAAGGTAAAAGTAGATACCCTGAAAACATTACAGGAAGGAATAGGGGAAACAATAGGGCTCCTTGGCATAGACCAAACATTTCTTAATAAAGACTCAACAAATCAAAGAAAGGTTGGACAAATGGGATTGCATGAAGTTGCAGAGTTTCTGCATGGCAAAGGACATAGCTAGATATATCAATAGAAAGCCCACAGATTGGGAGAAGATCTTCATTAGCCATACAACAGACAAGGGCCTTATATCTAAAATATATTTAGAACTCAAAAAACTAAATCCCCCAAAAACAAATCCTCAAAGAAACAACTGCCCCCATTAAAAATGTGATAAAGACTTAAAGAGAGACTTCTCTGAAGAGGAAATAAGAATAGCCAATGGACACATGAAGAAATGCTCAACATCTCTGGCCACAAAAGGAATGCAAATCAAAACAACATTGAGATCCACCTCATCCCAGTTAAAATAACTATCTAATAGCTATTTTAATGCTATTTTATCTAATAGTAACAGATGCTAGAGGGGATGTGGTCACAAGGGAAAGCTACTACACTGTTTGTAAGAATGTAAATTGTTCAACCACTCTGGAAAGCATGATGGAGGTTCCTCAAAAACTACACATAAAGTTCTCCTATGACCCAGCAATCCAATTTCTGGGTATTTCAAATGACCACAAACAAGTCCATACTAAAAGCTACCAGCACGACTATGTTTATCACAGCATTATTCACCATAGCTAAGATATGGAACCAACCCAGATGCCCCTCGGTAGATGAATGGATCAAGAGAATGACACCGCCCCATTTGTAAGGAAATGGAAAGACTTGGAAAAAATCATATTAAGTCATACTCGAAGAAACAGATCCCATGGTTTCCCTCATTTGTAATAATTAGTATACGTCTAGGATAATCCCAAGAGATGAACAGAATAGCTCAATAGCTACATACACATGACCATATAAGATGATGCTAAGCAAAATGAAGTCTAAGACATGGACACAAGAGGTTTTCTTTGTTGTTTTTAATGTACTATGTGATTTCTTTTTTTTCTTTTTCCTATGGTTTATCTCCTGTATTTGTATCTTATCTTATCTCCTGTATTTGTATTTTATCTCCTTTCACTGTATTTGATTCTGGTACACTGGGTATTGTATATGCGTTTATCTGAATTAGGGAAGGAAAAGGGAACAACAAAATGGTGAGACAAAGAACAAAGGGTGAACCCATGCAACAGTGATACTCACAAGACAATATGTTGGAAATGAACCGTACAACTTGGGAGGCATGGGGAGGAGGAAAAGTGGGAGAAAAATGAGGGAGGGGCTAACAAGTTCAACAAGAAATGTACTCACTGCCTTACATATGTAACTGTAACCCCTTTAAACATCACCTTGGCAGTACATTTTTAAAAAGAAATGTAACCAAAAATTTTAAAAAGAATATATTAGTGATGACTTGTTGCCAATAAATTTGGAAAAAAGATAAATTCACAAAAAGGTATAAATGAAAAATATAGGTTCAAGAAGTAGAAATCCAGACCATCCCTGTAACCATTAGAGATATTGAATTACAAAGCCTAGCACTAGAAGAAAAAGACCACAAATGGACAGCTAACATAAGTGGCCCAGGAAGCACAGAGTTATACTCAGGGCCTTGGCTGCTCCAGTCTTACCCACACCATCATTTGGTCAGCAGCATCTCTGACTGTCAGGAGAGGAACTGTATTTTTTCACAGCTTCAAGGACACCTACCAATATTTTTCCCCATTTTTTATTTTATTGTTATTGTAGAGGTGATAGATATAAAGAGGGGTTACATAAGCCAGGCAATGAGTGCATTTATTTTTGGACAATGTCACCTCTTCTCTTGCTCTCTCCAAATTTTTCCCTCCCATCCCCAACCACAGGTTGTATAGTTCATTTTCCACATAGTATCTAGTGAGTACCACTGATACATTAGTTCATCTTTTGTCCCACCTTTTTTTGTCTAAGCAAAGGCCAGGTGGTTTTCCAACCAAGTGCAGGGAACTCAAAATAACTCTCATAGGAAACTATCCTTTAACAACATGAACATTTTGTGGTTATTCCCACTAGACATTAAGAAAACTATGCTGTAGAATTTACCTACTACCAGAGAGAGGTTCTCTCTATTCCTGCTAGAATAATCCTAAGTAATTCTCCTCATGAATTCAAGATCTTGTAAATTTCCCAAGGGAATGTTAACAAAAATGAAATAGAAATATCCTGTCATATTTTAAAGTAATTTATAAAATATTTACTTGTAGCCAGGCACCCATGGCTCACACCTGTAATCCTGGCTACTTGGGAGGCTCAGATCTGAGGATCATGATTGGAAGCCAGCCAGGGCAGGAAATTCTGTGAGATTCTTATTTCCAATTAAGCACTAAAAGCCAGAAATGGGGCTGTGGCTCAAGTGGTTGAATGCTAGTCTTGAACACAAAAGCTCAGGGACAGCACCCAGGCCCTGAGTCCAAGTCCCGGGACTGGTACATGTACATGTGGGCACACACAAACACAAACACATACAAACACACAGTTTACTTACTATTTGAACTAAATTGTTTTTAGCAAATTCCCATGATGTACTGGGCAGCATTGTGGTGATCTCTGATGTTGCATCTTTTTGCTGTGAATTTTCAAAAATACTCAGAGGGAAAGGAAAGAGCTCCTATTGTGAAGTTACAGATATGATAGAATCTATGGGCAAGGATGAAGGTGACATCAGAAATGTATCACAAAATCTTCAAAAGTCCCTCGAACTGCAACATTGAGGAAGCATAGATGAATCGGGCACTCCTGACCACAACCTGCCCCCTCCACTATGGGGATGACCACCATCTGGTGCTTCAGTAGGCCATCTTCAGTGATTGTCCTTAGTGTAGTGGATAAAGAGAATGTTGATTCTGGACACACTGATGCACTCTTGTAATCCTAGCTCCTGGAAAAGCAGAAGCAGGAAGATTACAAATATGTATCACACACATGTATTAAACTATTACATTATCTCCAAGTTATATCCCATATATGCATACTGTTATCACATGTTAATAAAAAGATTAAATGTTTAAGGAAGGCTTGGCACAGTGGCCACTGTTTGTAAATCCCAGCTACTTAGGGAGCAGAGATCCAGGAGGAGCAGGGGTTGAGGCCAACCTGGCAAAACATTAGTTAGACTCGGTCTCAATAAGCCAGGTATGGTGGGACGTGCCAGTCATTGTAGCTACACAGAAGCTATCAGTCATGATCTGAGGCCAATCCCAGGTGAAAATATGAGGCTCCACCTGGAAGACAACATGAAGCATAAAAGGTCTGTGGTTTGGATTAAGTGCCTAGCTAGCAAATGCATTGAGTTCAAACCACAATAGTACTTCCTCCAAAAAGTTTAAGGATATGGAAATGTTAACACCCATATTTTAATAATTGCAAACAATATACATGTATCAGTTATCTCAAAATATGCTATAAATCTGTACAATTGAAATAATATTTTTGGTTATACTGGGGTTTGAACTTAGTGACTCATCCTTGTATGCAAGCATTCTACCACCTGAGTCACACCCCAACCCTTGTTGCTTTAGTTATTTTTCAGATAGGGTCTAGTACTTTTGTCTGGGGCTAGCTTTGGACCGCAGTCTTCTAGCTCTGCCTCCGGTGGAGCTGGTATAACAGGAATGTAACAGCATGCTCAGCTTGTTCTTTGAGATGGAATCTTGGCAACTTTTTCCCAGGCTGGTCTGAAACCACAGTCTTCCTATTTCTGCCTTCCAAGTAACTGGAATGACAGACATGCACTACCACACTGTCCCCAAATAATGTTTTTTAAAGGAAAATAACTTGCATTATCACATAACCTTTACTTCATCCAGACTTTTGTTGTGGCCTGTATATATTTCAGAGATCAGTTGCTTGGGCTTTGATTCTGTGCTCATGCTCCAAAGAGTTCATGGCCCATGTGCTTAACGATCCTAAAGAAACAGAAATCAGAGGCAATTTCTGAAGCAAATGATTGAGAAACCACTGGATGGTGGGGATACAATTGTGCCAGTTTCCCACCTGCACATAGATACACAATCTTTCTCATCTTCTTTTCTTTTAATCTGTATAGGAAAGAAAAAATCCAAATTCAAAACCTTCAAGAAGCTGTTTGGGAAGAAGAAGAGAAAAGAATCCCCGTCATCCACAGGAAGTAGCACTTGGAAACAAAACCAGGCCAAGAGCGAGGTCATGGCCATCGAGTCGGGGCCCGTGGGCTATGACTCTGAGGATGAACTTGAGTAAGTTACTTTTTATGCCCATTATCCTGTATGCCCCAGCCAGGAGATGGTTTCTGGACACAGGAGGACCCAAAGTCTTAAGAATTTGTAGGGTCCCTGAGCCTTCCCTCCTCCCAGGTAACATCCATAGAGCTTACCACACGTACTGTATTTTACCATTGCAAACATAATGTTGGAGGAAACCTAATTAGGTAGCTGCTGCATAGATTAAAAGTCCACGATGGCTAGACAGAGGAACTATGCACCAATACCAGCTACAGAGCGAGACTTAGGAGCCTGCCCAGCATTCTACACCTGAAAGTTGCAGGATTGGGATGTGGACTGACACTTAATTTCACATTTCATAATACCGGACACATATATCTCTGAACTTGAACACTGAGTAGTCTAGTATCTGGATGGCGGTGAGGTGGGATGAAGAAGGGAAGATTTTCTGTTGTTCAGTCTTAGGAAAATCACCCAAGAATACCGTTGTGAGGGCGGACCCAATTAGGGATGAAGATAGTTAAATCGCTTGATTTTTGTAACTTATTTCACCAGACTGTGGTTATACATAACTTGATGTTCTAGCAGTTCTTTCTGTTGGGAAGAGAAACACATTTGTTGCAGTGGCAGCCTTTTCTCTTTCTTCTACACATTGACCCCCTCACTCGAGAAGCATGATATTCCTCACGAGTCAGCTGACATGAGGTCCTAGGTTTGAGCATCCAGCAAGGATGTCCTGTGCCTGTCTCCTCAGCAGCCTCCCTCCCCACGCACATCAGCTTTGGGAGGTGTAGAAAATACGTTGACCACTTGGTGGCACCAAATGACTGAAGAGAACAGATTGGGTTTTGATTGACAGTACTAGCTGGGATCACGCCTGAGTAGTGGCTGTGCCTTATGAAGCATGGTGGAAATGCTTTGCACATGTTTTTAAGTGCTGCGCTCTGAGCCTTTGGGGAGACAGATTTAATGGTGATAACATTACTATTCATTCATTGTTTTCACTAGCTAGTCTAAGAGGAACTCTTTTAACACCCACCCACGCCATCCCACATCCTGAGGAGCACACTGTCCTCCCAGGGGCAACAAGTCTGAGAGTGACCTCTGCAGCCACGGACAGGAACATAGTCATCTAGAGGACTGAAGGGGGAGAAATGGCCTCCTTCCCACAGCAACCCAGGGCAAAAAAGGGGGGAACAGACCCTTTTAATCTTTCTGTTCACAGCATTTAGCAGAGAAGCTATCCTCAAGATGATCATTTATCAAGGTTGACATTAGCTACTGAGAAAGGAAGTTTGAGATACCTGATCTGATGAAGCTCAGGAAGTGAATGGTGTTTTTCAAGAGTGGCACTGAGGAAGAGACAGTTCTCTAGCTCTGTGAGATTCTATGTCTTTCAGCCACCGCAACAGTTTCCCAGCATGGTCACAGGCACTGGCACGGGCAAGAGATTCCATGCGCTAAGATAGCTTAGTGCTGGCAGAACCCTTCTGGAGCTGTTGGGTTTCAGTTGATGGGTGTTTATTACCTCCTTGTCTTTACCTATACCAATTCTCCAAGCCCTCCTTCCTGTTTCCTGTCATTGGTCTGTAGAAGGAGCAGGATCCTTTGTCTTGCAGAACGTCCTGAACCATGGATACTTCTCTCTTGGTACAATTGATGGTACAATTGAATGTGTGCCTATATTCTCTGGATTCCTTGTGAACTCATTGATCTAGATGTATAGCTCAAGTCAATGCTGTCCCTGATGTATCACATCTTCATATTTAGCAAGGCCCTGGATTACAAGGATACCAGTGTGATCCCTCCACCAACCTTCACTCAGTGCTTTTAACATCTGCTACTGATCCATTGATTCTCAGCAATGGTACTTTTCATAATTCCAGCATTAGTTTTATATTTGCTAACTGGATTGCTCCTTTGTTTTCATGGGGTTTTATTTGTCTGATTTTGCTTTTGGAAAAATTCAGAGCCTTGCACTTGCCAGGTAGTTGCTCTACCACTTGAGCAGTTGCTCTTTGCAGTGCTTTCGGCTTTAGTTACTTTTTAAATAGAGTCTGGTGCTTTTTACCCAGGGCCTGCCTCAAACCAGGATCTGCCAAATCTCTGCCTCTTACGTAGCTGGGATTATGGGCACGAACCACTACATTCAAGCTAGATTTCTTGTATGAAGAACTATCTTTCATCAACTTAATGATAGTATAAAATATAGTCTGAACAGGAAATACAGGCCAATGATTATTCGCTCAGCTGACTCAGCTCTCTTACTAGTGTGCTGGCACTCCAGTGCCTCCCAATGGTCACCATCAGGGTTTCTTTTTTTCCCAGACATGAGTGATATATCTGGCCTTGCTCTGTGCTATCTGTGATAGTTTTGCTTAGCTTCATCCCATGAGACTACCCCAGCTTACAGAGCTCTTTTCCCATGTGTGGGCTATAGTGTCCTTTATCATGTGATGCTTTGATTTACTACTGGGGTAGAGGGTTTTGATTGTGATTCCCAGAGGGTGGCCACAAGCTTTCCATGTTAAAGGGAAATCCAGATGTGTATTTGACCTCTGGATTAAGAGCTGCTGTTAGCAATGAGGGCCAGGTGTTTTCACTGGGCTGCTTGCTTCCCAGAGCTGTGAGGACACACCCTTCTTGGAATCCTGGGTTCCCATTTTCAGGCTTCCAGTCATGAACTAGCAAGTTTAATTAAGAGGATATATCCAGCATGATTTGTTCTGTAGGAAGGCAGGGCCACACATCAGTCCCCAATGCCCCATCGAAGACAGGATGCCCAGAGACGGCAGGGTGGAGCTGGTGTGCACAAGATGTCCCATGTGTGCATTGGCGGCTTTCCTTCCTTCACCAGCAGTCTCTTGGTCATCTCCTTCCACCTATTGTTCAAGTTGCTAGGAAAATCTGACAGCTAATTCCCACATCCTCTGAGCATGTTTCATGAATGTCCTGTGGGTTCAGATCCAAATCAGATCCTTGAGCTGGAGGCCTGGGATGGTGATGATGCTCAAGACTAGAAGCACAAGTAATATGCACAGATCAAAACAGATCATAGAAAAAGGTGTGGCTTGGCAGATGTGCAGATCTCATTCTAAAGGAGCCACGGGTAAATGGTTTTGGCCATCTTAGGAGGATGCTCTGTCAGGCTTGCCTTCAGACTGTGGTACAACCTCCACTTCCACAAGGGGCTGACCTCATCTTCTCAGGACATCCAAAACAAGTTTCCACAGAACCCAGCCAAAGCCAATCCCTCCTTTCTGCAGGCTTGCTGCCTTGGACCTCACACCTTGATCAATCTTGGGTTTTTTCCACCATAAAAAAGATTTCCTACAACCGTTAGATGTCTTAGGGAAATACCCATTTGTATGAGGCTCCTGACAGTAACTTGTGATGTTTAACAGCAAGGGGGATAAACTGAAGTACGAGGCAACTATAAACTAAACACAACAGAGGGCTCCTTGTATGCTGCGGTGCTAACCCCCACCCCCTTTCACACTCCGAGTCCCTCAGGGCTCAGTGAGATTCAGAGCTGGAACCAGGATCACAGTGGTTCTTTTACCCTAGGGAGTCCAGAGGCACGCTGGGCAGCCGGGCCCTCTCACATGACAGTATTTTCATTCCTGAGGCGGGGCAGGATCCTGCTCGACCTGTGAGAGTGTTTTCCCAAGAAAATGTGTGTGACCGGATTAAAGCTCTGCAGGTAAGCACCACTTGGTATATATGTCAAATATCAATCCAGATGTTTCTAAATCATTTGTGTTTGGTCCCTGATGTATTGAAAATAGACTCACAGACACTTCACAGCTCTCCTAAGATGCACAAATTAGCATCTAAGTTATAACTTAGATGAGGATGGGTGCATCTAAGTAATTTTCATGGCTCATGTCTGTAATACTGACTACTCAGGAGACTAAGGTCTGAGGACCAAAGTTCAAAGCTAGCCTGGGCAGGAAAGTCCATGAGACTCTTCTCTCCAATTAACCAGCAAAAAGCTAGAAGTAGAGCTGTAGCTCAAGTGGTAGAGTATCAGCCTTGGGTGAAAAAGCTAAGGGACAGTGCCCAGGCCCTGAGTTCAAGACTTAGATGAGAGGAAACAGGGAGGGGGAGCAGGTGGTGAACAGCAGCCCTTTCAGTTCTTGCTCCGTACCACACAAGGGCATTGTAGGTATTTCTTGATGAATGAATCAGAACAGGAAGGTTTGTTAGGAATCTTGGATGAAAATAGTAAGAGCAGATGTTCTTTATTTCAATCCAGTTAAAAATACAATGTAATGTGCGAATGGGACCACCACCTCCAGGAGGGATTCCTGCCAAGCGGGCAGAGGACACCGGCATGAGTTCTGAGGATGACGGGCTACCCCGGAGCCCCCCAGAGATGTCCCTTCTGCATGACGTGGGCCCCAGCACCACCATCAAGGCAAGTGCAGCCCGTACCCTGCATGTTTCCATCTGCACCTGCAGCAGCTGGGGCTCTTTGTGCTTCCTCCCCTCACCTGCCAAGTTCTCCAGGAGGGAGGGCAGTGTCTACACAGAGTGCGGGCGCAGGTCAGAGAGTCCACCATATGCTCTTGGATTGTGCTTCTTTTCATTTTTAGAGCAGTAATTCAAATCTGATGAGGAGATGTGGTTTGAGTAACTTCTTTCTTCAGTGGTAGATCTGATACAATCAACCTTTCTACCTCAATTTTCCTGTCTAAGCAGACAGCTGGACCCAGAATCCCATTTAAAAGAAGGGAGATACCTGTTCTCATGACATTGACCAGTGGAAGAAGTAAACATATGTCACCACCATGAGAAACTGATGATTTGAGAAGAAGTGATTTGAACCTAATGCTGGTGAACAGGGTGCAGGCAGGTTTGACAGTGGGAAGGGTTATGACCTCAGCAGGGAGAAGGACCTAATTCTAGATACCACCCTTCCCCCTGGTATCAAAGAGGAGGCACCTGAGGAAGTGAGAACTAAACTCTTCCAAGTGCCAGCTCACATTCATACCCATTCAGCCCTCTTATTTTATTGTGGAAAGAACCTTTAACACATACAACGTTTTTGTACAGGAGTGATAAAATAAATGGTCATGTAGATAAGCCTTTCTATAGGGTGGATGCACTTGGTGTAATCGAGTTATATTGACCCATGGAAAATAAATGAAGGTCAAACTCTATGTTTTATAACAGCTCTTGCCCTTAAAAGTACTTTCATCTCTGACCTGGAGAAGAGGCTGCTCATAGTGAAATGGGGGCTTGTAGCTTCTGTATTGCTCTGAATTACATTCAGTAACCATTTCAAACCCCACACACCTTGTGTTTTGTTGTAGCAGGAAGCAGCAGGCATGTTACTGATAAAAAGACAGGACTAAGTTTCAGTCCGCTCTGGGATCAGTTCCTACAAAGTTGGTTAGAGAAGTCTCTTCAGGGTGAGCATGGCCCTACTCACTCCAAGAGCAGAGTCTCAGGACAGTGGGGCTCCCCACTACTCTTCTCCAACCTCCAGAAGGACTAGATACTGAAGAAGTTGGCCTGCCCTGCTTCTGGATTTTCCTAAGTGACCCTGTAGCCCTTGGTGCCTTAAAACACTCTGTGTGCACTTTTACTGGCCCCCTCTCAGGAACCAGTGTGGCTGTGGTGTGTGTGTGTGTGTGTGTGTGTGTGTGTGTGTGTGTGTGTGTGTGTGTGTTGGGCCACATGGTGAGAAGGCACCTGTTGGGAGCAGCCTCCTCATTCATTGGCGACTGACTCTCCTCCTGTCCACTGGTCTCTGACTCACAGAATCTTGGTTCTCTGCCTTTAACAAGGACAGGCAGGAAAGATGAACAGATGATTTCTAACTCCATTCATTAGAAAGCAATCCCAGCTCCAAATTTGCTCAGTCACCATGATTCACAAATTCCAAATTCCAGTCCACCAAGTAGGGGTCACTTGTGTTGGACCAGGGCTGACTTCATCTTTCACTTGTTAATTTACTGAGAGACAGAGAGAGAGACAGAGACAAAGAGACAGACAGAGACAGAGGGGGGGAGGAAAAGGAAGGAAGGAAGGAAAGAGCCAGGCATTGGCTCAATCTTGGCTCAATTCTACAGTCCAGGCAGGAAAATCTATGACTCTTATTTCCAGTTAACCACCAAAAAGCTGGAAATGGAGCTGTGGCTCAAGTGGTAGAATACCAGTCTTGAGTAGAAGAAAACTAAGGGATAGCACTCTGACGCCAGGTGTCATTAGCATATACCTACAATATTAATTACTCAGAAGGCTGAGATCTAGAGGATTATGGTTCATGATCATCCTAGGAACAACAGTCTGAGACTTCATTCTAAAATAACCAGCAGAAAGCTAGACTAGAGGCATAGCACAAAAAGTAGAGCACCAATGTAAGAAACCCTAGAGTTCAAATCCTACTAACACCAAACCCAAAAAAATTCTGAAGTTTTTATCAATTCTGGGTATAGGCACAATGTAGTAGCTTCATAGGAAACAAAGCTTGAGCTATTGTTCTTTTAATTTAATTAATTGTGAGGGTGATATCAGGGGGCTACAGTTACGTAAGTAAGGTAATGAGTACATTTCTTGTTGAACATTGTTACCTCTTCCCTTGTTTTCTCCCACTTCGCCTCCCCTGTGAGTTGTAAAGTTTATTTCCAACATGAATATCGCTGTTGCATTGGTTTTGTCCTTTGTCTCGCCATTTTATTCTCTTTCCCTTCCAGTTTGGGCTATTAAGAAGTAAAAATACAAGTACTCTTTGCCATCATGATTTTGAGGGGACAGTTATTATATTTTATGTCCAGAAAGTTTATTGTGCAGTTAGCTGGCTGAAAAGAGAAAAATGCCCATTTTAAAATGTGCTTAAACAACAAGGTATTGTTTCCTTTAATCCTGTGAGATACCTTCCCAGGACCACATGCTTAACAGAGAAATATTAGATTACCGTGGAAAAGAAAATGTCTTTAGTAGCAAATAATTGTGAAAAAGTCCCAGGCAATATTTCCTGACAGAATAACTTTGTCATGAATTTTTTGAAAGTCATTGCCACATGAATTAACATACAATGAGACTGTGCTTGGTAATTGTAGTTAAGATTATATGTAGCTCAGGGATAGAACACTTGCCTAGCAGGTGCAAGTGTTCTGAGTTCTATCCCCAGTACTGCCAAACGAAAAAGATTGTCTGTGTAATTGGTCATATTCTAGGTTTCCTGTTGTTAGGGTATTGGGCAAGTTAATCACCTCTTCTGTTCATCACAGAGCAGGGCAGGTTCATTACCTTTTCTATGTTTCTTCAGAAGGTTTCAGGAAGGATTAAGTGAGTCCACATAGGTGTTTGGCTCCCCTGTACAGCAAAGCCAGTGGCTTCTCTTTGCCCCCTGGTGTGGCCAGGGGCAGGTTTGGCCCTGCTTCTTCTCCTTGACTGGCAGATGTTTTCAGGTATGCCACCCTCTGCCTAATTCGCAGTGTCTGAGCTCTTCATTTTGTGGACAGAACATCAGAAAGCAACTTTCATCCCTAAGAAAGGATCGTAAGGAATCTCTTCAGGGCCTTTGAGCCACATTCTCCTCAATCAGAGGCCATAGATTAGACTTAAAAAAAAAAGCCTCTTTCAGCCAGGCTCTACTCAGGAGGATAAGATCTGCAGTTTGAAACTATCCCAGGCAGAAAAGTCCCCGTGAGACTCACATCTCTAATTAACCACTCAAAAACTGGAAGTGGTGCTGTGGCTCAAGTGGTAAAGCACTAGCCTTGAGCACAAAGAGGCTCAGGGACAGTGTCCAGGCCCTGAGTTCAAGCCCCACAACTGACAAAAAGAAATCCTCTTCTAGAATCATCTAGGAGCACAGACTTCAAGAAAAATCAGGTGATTGGGATGTGAATACTCTCTGGCTACTGCCAACTTCCTGGACCCATGTTCCTCCTCAGAGACCCTACCCGTCCCACCCCATGTAGTTACGTCACTTATCAGTTATAGAACTCACAATTCTCCTTACTCATGAAGGAGCTGATCTTTCCAGGACCCAGGAACCTTCAAAACAACAGAGGAGATAGAAGGTAAGAGTTATAATGTCAGAGCAGTTGAGCTCCCTAATGGATAGATAGGCTGTACCATGAAGTAGGGTGTGCTCATAAGCAGAGGTCAGGGAAGTTAACCTTCTTGCCAGGATCCCAAGACTATTAGCTCCTCCCATGGGGGAGGGGCAGCAGTTGTAGATGAAAATGGAAGACCTATGCTGGTATAGATGTACTCACTCTCTTTCATGAAATGACTGCCTCTGAAGCTCATCTTTCTTGTTCTCATGAGACTTGGTCAGTGAGACTTTTTTTTAAATAAGTCTCTATATGCGGTTCCTCTAGACAAGGGCAGCAGTAATGATTCTGTGTGATGTACAATAGGAACACCCTGTTTGAGAGCATCAAGGAGGATTATCTGGAAAGATATCACTTGTCTACTCTAAGACATCTTTCTGAGTCACCAGCTACTACAGGAGAAGCCAAAGCTACAGGCACAGGCACAGTTATATCTAAGAGTTAACTCATTTGTTTTAAAAATAATTTTCTTTATTCCCAGAAGTATAGGAGTAGCTAAGAAAAAGTTAAAATAGATGGTCTGCTTCTAACCATTCTCCCTTATTTCAGTAATTACTCCCTTCCAGCTTATAGGAATAAATTTCATTCTGCTGTTAATGGAAAAGAAAGAAAGAAAGAAAGAAAGAAAGAAAGAAAGAAAGAAAGAAAGAAAGAAAGAAAGAAAGAAAGAAAGAAAGAAAGAAAGAGGAAGGAAGGAAGGAAGGAAGGAGGAAAAATAAGGAAAGAGAAAGAAAGAAAGAAAGATGTGTGAAAAGAGGAAAATAAGTTCTTTAAAGTTATTCCTTTGCAGGGTTAGTCTGAGTCAGAGCTAGTCAGTATGAGAGTGTCATCCAGTTTGGTGAGGACCACTGTGCACCTGCTTGGGGTCAGAGTTGTGGAAAAGGAACCAAGCACTCATAGCTCTGAGAGCTTGCTTCTGGGGATGACATCAGCCTCTAGTTCATTACTTCTTTCTCGAAGAGTCTGTTTCCATGAAACCCTACTAAATCATTGTGTGGTGAATAAAATCATGTACTTAGGAGGTTAAAAGATAAATGTGACAATCTCTTAGACCACCATGCTGAATTAGAAAGTTTGGTTTAAAGATCATAGGGTTGCACTCCAAACCTAGCGCCTCACAGCTTCTCCCTCTGAGCTTGGCCCTTCTTGGGACTGAATGTGCTCAGGGTGCTCATGGTACTGGCTGCTCTGTGTGCTGCTGCCCATCTTTGCATGACAGCATACTGAGACTGTCTGCGGAGACACCAACTTCCTCTTGGGTCTTAAGGGGTGGCCCTCCTTCTTCCACATGGCTACTTCTTCCCTGTCAGTGCTTTGTACTTTGCCGACTTTCCACTCCTCCCTGCTGAAGTGTAGAGTAGTAACCGATCTGGTAATAGACCACCATCACCAGATGGTTACTTACAGACAGACCTCTCCATGAGGATGTGGAGAAGGAACAGAACTTCAGTGATGGAATGCTGGGCGGAACACTTGAGCCTCTCTGGGTCACTGACTCCTAAAATTCCACCCCTGGACCACTGTCTCTGCTTCCAGAGACAGGAACAGTGCCTCTGTCCTTGGAGACACTGTGCTGAGCTGTTTCTTTGATGAAAATAATGATGGAAACAGGGAGCTGAAGGAACAAGGGCACAAGCTCTCTGCATTTCCTCGGGGTTTAACCCAACACTTGGAATCCCAGCCATTTTTAGAAAGTTTCCTGTCAAGAGCCAAGTTGAAATATCCCTCCCGGGTAAAGCCTAGAGACAACATGGAAGCAAAATAAAAGGAAAGTCCAAGTGTTGGCTATTCCTATTTCTGGTCATGAAGTTAACGTTTGGTATTTTGCTCCTTGTCCCATGAAGATCTCTTTAGTGCCCTCATCCCGGCCGCAGTCTCCAGACCACACGAATGATGCCACCGTCTCCTCCCGGACTTCAGACAATAGCCTGGCACCCGTGGCTGATTTCAGCTGCCCTCCAGAATTCTCCTCCTGCCTAGACAACTCTGCTGCTAAGCACAAGCTCCTGGTCAAGCCTCGCAACCGTAAAATGAGGCGACTGTCTTCGGTAATTTGGCTTCCTTCTCTGCATAGGGGCTGTGTAGGGACAGGCAGACTGGCATCCCCCTCGCCTTATTCTGCCCTTCCCGTGGTTAGGTCCATGCTCCCTCTGAGCACCCCCAGAGTCGATGAACCTGGGCTGCACGAGCCGAGTTGCTCACCTTCTTCAACATTGCATAAACATGCCATTCATACATCCATTCATGAATGCTTTCATTCTACACACATTTTACCAAGAATCTAGTCTGTACTGTATCAAGATACTTTATTTCTCCTTCAGTTTATTGGCCTCCTGTCATCTGCCTGAGCTCTCCATCCCCAGGTTTAGGCATATTATGGCTCCTGCCTGATAAACTCTGCTCCTAATGGCTTCTTCTTAGCCATATGGGCTCAGCTCAGAGTTCCTGTTCCTAGAGTGGCTCACCATGGTCTTGCATTCTAATAATTCACCACACATAGAAGTGACCTTTGTAAATGTATGTGCTCACCTTGTGCCCCTGTCCCCAGCTGTGCTTCCCAACCCCCATCACAAGGCCAACACAAGCTGGCATTCAGTAAATTTTTGTTGAGTGACCAAATGAATGAAAGAATAAATGCATGCATGAATGAGTGAATTATAGAAGACAGCTGAAAGAGTAGAGTTTACACCTGCCTTGGGCAACTTAGTAGCATGGGGATCCAGGGTGTTACCTGAGAGTTATCATCTCTGGAAGGTGATCATCTGACTTACAGATTACATTGGGCTCATGGTGTCAGTGGATTTGACATCCCATGGTAAAGAGCAGAGGGAGAGCCAGCCGGCCCACAGAAAGAGAGAGAGATTCATAAACCATCAACTTCTCTTTGCTGCCCTTGAGACACAATTGTGGTGTAGATGGAGTGCCAGGAAAAGCTTGGTACCTGTGCTGCAGACATGGAGTAGGCCCACTCAGGACTTAAAGGACTCCATGGGGAATGAGTTTTCTCTTGGTCATGTGACACTTTGTAAACTTGTGCCAACAGGGTTGGTTTTCAGGGAACTAAAGACAAAAGAGGGGGCTGGGAAGGTGGCTCAGTGGTAGAGCGCTTGCCTTGCATGCATGAGGCCCTGGGTTCGATTCCTCAGCACCACATAAGCAGAAAAAGCCGGAAGTGGTGCTGCGGCTCAAGTGGTAGAGCGCTCGCCTTGAGCTGAAGAGCTGAGGGACAGCGCCCAGGCCCAGAGTTCAAGCCCCACGACTGACAAAAAAAAAGAAAGAAAGAAAAGGAAGTGGCAGATCATTGTTTATATAACAGCCCAAGTACCCCTAAGAACTGACTTTATGAACCTTTTCAAGGCTCAGCCTTGGTACCCTCCACCTTTGGGCTGTTTCCACATACTGTTTTTTTGAGTGAGTTGTGACTACCTTCATCTCCATTCTTTATTGAGAGGAAGAGGAATGGACTTCGTGGCAGTAAGGAGAAAACTGGACTAATAGCTGAGTTCCAGAGACCTTTCAGAAGAAAGGTTACATACCCCAGGGGTGCATGGGAAGGGATAATCCCCCGAGACTAGAGCCTTGGTTTGACTTGAGTAGAGAGTGGGAGAAATATCGTTAAGACCAGAGAATATAAGAATTTTAGTTTTAACTGAACTTTGGGGATGTTACTTCAAGAGACACAGTTAGCTGTTGACATAGTCGATATTGTATGAATTGTGTTTTAGGAAAGTCAGTCTGGCTTTGTTATGTGGATCTGTCCCTTCAGAGTGTTGACATGGAGACTGGCCTGGAGGCAGTACAGGGTCATAGAATGAGCACTAGCTCTTCACCTGGGCCACTTGTTAGCTACCATTTTTGGCAAGGTTTGATGCCTCTGGAGCACTTGGTTCACCAAGTACAAAAGTGAAATAACAGTCCCTTCCCCATTGGGATTAATAGAAGATTAAAGGAAATAACAGGTGTAGAGCACAAAATGTGGAAGGTATTTTCCCCCATATTGGTCACTGTCCCTCTGCTTCACTCTATGGAGCAGCATCCACTGATTTAAATTTGACCCCTTAGGCTACAGGAGGTATTTATTTTAAGGTCCTAACTTCCATTGTTATGTGGAATTTATGAGCTAGGGTTCCAAGAAGACGATTAAGACACCTGTGTGTGGTTGTCTACTCCAGTTCCAGCTTTAGAGATACACTGCTTTCTCTAAACCATAACCAGCCTTGACAAGGAAGTCATAAGCTGTCTAATATTTGCTGCAGTGATGGCGTCTTTGGTTTTTGTATCTCGTAGAGGGCCCAGTCTGAATCACTGAGCGATCTGATATGTACCCCAGAAGAGGAAGAATATAATGAGAAGCTATTTTACCAAGTCAGCATGGAAGAGAGCATCAGCTCTGGGCATCAAGAGTCAATGCTGGACAGAGAGCCTGAGCCAGGGGTACCAGTGAACCTGTTCCCACCCGGGGGACCCCGTGCCCGACGCGCCCGCCTGCAGCACTGCCCAGCGCTGAGTGCCAGCATGGAGGAGGCGACCTGCCCTGGGGATGAGCCCTCCAGCCGCCCGGCCACCCCAGAGGTCACCGAGCCCGTGGCAGGCCCCGGCCCTAGCTTGGAAGCCCCATCGGAGTCAGAAGGTATCCCTCACCCTAGTCCCCACATAGAAATCCAGGAGGAGGAGCCGTCCACCCCAAGCTCGCGTCCCCCCGCCGAGGACCTGGCTGAGGAGGCGGTTTCTGCTTCTGGAGAGGTGGAAGGTCCGTTATCCACCTGTGCGTCTCCTGAGACTGTCACTGTCACCTTGGAGACGCCCCCTGATTCCGATGGGGCAGCACACAGTGTCCAGGAGGAGGAGGAGGCGCTGACGCTGGAGGTGCCTGGTCCTGAGGGCGCAGGGGACGAACCCTCCCCGGCCCCTGTCCCGCCTGCCCCGGCCCCGGCCCCGGCTCCCGGCCCAGACCCAGCCCCGGCCCCCGTCCCAGGTCCCAGCCCGACAGCGCCCAAGAGCTGCTTGAAGCACAAGGCCGCCGCCGCCGCCGCTGTGGACCAGGGGCCCGGCGGACGCCCCACGTCCCCCGCGGAGTCGCTCCCGGAGGAACCCAGTGCCCGAGCCCAGGACGCAGAGGCCGCGCCTGTGGAGCCCCCCAAGGCCAAGCAGGCCGAGACTCCCCACTCGGGTCCCGAGAGGGCAGCGCCGCAGGGACGGAAGAGCGAGCCCAGGGGCGCGAAGAAGTTCTCGGTGTCCTCGTGCCGCGCGCGTTTGCGGCCCGGCAGCGCCCGCCCGCCAGAGCGCCCCGGATCCGGGCCCGCGGGGGGCCGTGCACCCCCGCTGCGGAGCGCGGCCTGGCGCAGCGAGGCGGCCCTGGACGACTTGCCGCTGCTGGTTCCCGAGCCCCAGCCCCAGCCCGGGAACTCGGAGCCTCTGAAACCCGCCGAGTGCGACTCTCAGGACCCCGGGGAACCTAGGGCCCCCCAGGCTGGACCAGGAAGTAGCCTCCAGGATGCAGGGGCCACCCCTGGCTCCGGGGAGCCATCTGCGAGGGACGACAGGAGCCCCTTCCCGGTCAAGCTGCGGTCCACCTCCCTCTCCCTCAAGTACCGAGAAGGCTCTTCTTCCCAGGAAGCAAAAGGAATCAAGAGATACAGTGCTGAGGTCAGGATGGAAAGAGGAGGGCTGACTCTGCTCCCCAAAGACGAGCAGTGTCACACGGGGTCCGCCCCTGCGCTTCGAGGTGCCAGGTCCCCGAACAGCCAAGGAAAGGGGAAGGCCCGGTCTCCCGAGCAGCCCAGCTCTAAGCCACCCCTGCCCAGGAAGCCGCTTCTGCAGAGCCTCACCCTTCCCTACCCGCCTGCAGGCCTGGACACCAGCCCAGGAGAGCCAGAGAAAGTCATCCCACAGCGCGACCCCAGGAGGGAGAGCAGGATGGCAGAGAAGAAGTCGCCTCACAGGGGAGCTGGTAAGAGCCTCTGTGCAGCATGTTTGGGAATGGGCGGGACAGAGGGAAATCCCTATTAACTGTAGTTGCTTGCTGGATGGCCACAAAGTAAACTATAGGTCTAAACCTTGATGATGCCTGGCATATTCAAGGCCCTGGGCTCCACCCCCCAACACACATCGTGCAAAACAAGGAATAGAGCAGACAAGGAGAGGTTGATAGCAGGATTTTGTCAGGTATATAGACATAACAAGGAAAACGTAAAAACTGATGTATAGTATCCTTCCTTAAGAGAGGATGGGATCCTTGGTGGATTGTTCAAGTGCTTCTTTCACTTAATCTCAAAATTCAGCCAAGCTCCAAATTCCAGGACTTGTGCATTTATTTTGATGCAGTGTTTCTTAGGGCCTAAGCTACTTTTTTGGCTGTAATAGTCCTTCTGACCTTTTCTCTGAAGGAAGAATTTCTTTTCTTTCATAATAAGGCCCATGTGATCTGGCTTCACATGAAAGCATCCTGTGAGTGATTGGAGTCACACATCTATGTACAAATATAAGCCCTTCAGAAGGTCAAGAATCACTCTGTTTCCTGTCCCAAAGTAAGAGCTCTTGTTAGGATTGGAGTAACATATAAGAACTTTACAAGGCCCAGCTATCATATAGAGTGAGCAATGATAAAATAGATGGCTTTTCTTTCTGACATTCTTCACTTACATTTCAGACAAAATGAATATTTACAAAATAAAAAGAACATTGCCGTCTTTACTAGAAGTCTGCAAGCTAGATAAGCTAAAATAATTGTGTGCACATGTGTGTTATGTGTATGATGAGAAAGTTTTCCATGGCAAATTTTAGTTTAAGCCTTTTTTAAGTGGCTCCTAAAGCAGATGTTCAGGGGTGCAGAGAGTACCCTAAAGTTGATGGCCCTCATGAAATCCTGTACCTAAAAAGGAAGCACACAGGAGGAAATTTTAGCTCAAAGCAATGTAAACACAGGTCCAGAGATACTTTAATCTTTTCTGTCTGTCACCTAAGAAGTTAGGTACAGTTATATAATACCCTTTGAGAACCTAAGGTGCAGCCCAAGAATTCAGGCATTTCCACAGAGCCTGCAGTTCTGGCCTTGCTGCCACTGAGCCCCTGGGCTCAGCTGCTGCTTCTACTGCTACTGTATTAGCATAATCAGGGAGAGTGCTCAAAGGGAGGTTCAAGTCAGAGCTGATGATCTTCTGCAAATTTCCACCACTTTATTGAAGCAACTATAGAGTGATTCAGAAAGCCATTTTAATAGCAAGGAGAGTTGCTCAGTGCAGATTAAACCCTGACTTCAGCACCATCTACCTTCATGGCCCGGAACTAAAAATGTCTCTCAAGGGCTTACTGAATGAACAGAACTTAACAGCAGGAGACTCAGGGTCATAGTGAGAGCTGGAAAATGAGCTCTGCAGCGCAATGCTTGGCCCCTGAATTACTATGGCCTCCATGGCCCAGGCCTGTAGTAAACTGTGTTGTCTTTTTCTTGGACTTATAAAATATAATACCATATTAAAGGTGTTGCTTAAGTAGTAGAAGTAGTAGAAAAATATTATCTTGCCCATGTATTAAAATTCTAAGCCACAGAAGTAACAAAGTAACAAAGAAGTAACAAAGATGAATTGTAAAGTGAAAGAATCTACATTACTTTTATGGCCACAGTTAATGAGTTTCATTTTAATGCAAAGGGAGGAGGAGAGGAATTACATTCTGTTAGGAACCTCCTTACACACAAGCACACCCTTTTCAGGGTGTTATTTGAAAGGCCAGTGCCAGGACAGGCTGTGGGTACTGTCTTATCTAAACCCCTTGGTCTGGTCTTGGGTTGTCCCCTGTAGACCAGTATCTCAGAATCGTGTTATTGGGCTTCATCCCCTCATCTATGCAGCAGCCCCCACCCCACCTTCCCTAGAAATGGATGTGTTTGTAGTTCAGTTCATTAGTATACTTCTACTCTCATTGCTCCCAAATCATAGCAGCTGGAGGCAATTTGATTCACACAAACCATATAGATAATAAAAGTTTTAATAACAGTGTTCATCTGTTCTCCAGAAAGGCCTAATTGTTGCTATTTATTATCTTCTGGTGGCAGGTACTTTGCACAGAGCTCCTATATGGGCTGCCATCATCCTCACTCCTGAGCATGGACCATGAAAGTTAGGTTATTGAAGTATATCATATGGATGAATGATTCTGCCTTGAAGGGGCTGGGAAGGACACAATGGCTGCAATAAACACAGGAGCCCAGTTTGTCAAAGAGTCTGGGCTTCCTGGCCCTCCTTGGCTTGTTAACTATAAGCCCCATTGTGTCTGAACTCCTTAACACAGAAGGGGCCTGTTTGTATATCTGGCTGATGGTTTACTTATCTGTCACTAGAGGAAAATGACCCAAGGTTAGAAGATTTGTGCAGTTTGCAGGACATTCATGTGCTCCTATTGGACCATTCCATCCTAGAACACAAATTACAGGTCAGGAAGCAACTTTCTGTGCATGGGGAAAGTTTGATAACTTATTATCTTAGCAAGGCAACAATGGCTCATGTCTGTAGTCCTAGCTACTTAAGAGGATGAGATCTGAGAATCTTGGTTCAAAGTGGACACAGGCAGCCAAATCTTCAAGACTTAAATCACCAATTAAATAGCAAAAAGCTGAAACTGGAGGTATGGCTCAAGTAGTAGTCAGCCATGAGAAAAAAAAAGAGAACACAAGGCCCTGAGTTCAAGCACCCATATTAGAAAAAGAAGTGTTTTGTGTAGAAAGATCTCATAAAAGTACACTTTAAGCTAGGACCTAGGCACCTTGGCAGTCATGGACTCCCAGCTACTCAGGAGACAGACATAGGAAGATGGTGAATTTGAAGGTGGCCTCTGCAACTTTAGCAAGATCCTCTCTCAAAAATATTTTAAAGGGTGGGCTTGGGGGTAGAGTGCAGTGGTAGAGTGCTCACAATACCAAAAATGAGAAAAATTACAAGTGTTCCCCAGGTATCACCTATTGGCCTTCCTTGATGGTATTTTTTTCTGAGTGTGAGATTGATTTTTGCACATAATTATGGCCACATATTGCTGTTTTGGAAGCTGATGCAACAAAGTGCTACTCTCACCTAGGGAATTCATCTAATAGCCAGCATCAGCTCCAGTCCAACCAGCATTCCTCCATGGTGACATGCCCCAACCCCTGACCCTCTTTTTCAAAGATTGTCCTCATTCATTCATGCATTGGTTTAGTGTGTGTGTGTGTGTGTGTGTGTGTGTGTGTGTGTGTGTGTGTGTGTGTGTATGTGTGTGTGCACGCACGCCTGGGTGCATATGTGCACACATGTACACACACTGGTACTGGAGATTAAACTCCAGGACTGGCCTTGCTCTCCGTTAGCCTTTCTTTTTCTTTTTTAGATGAAGTTATACATTTCTATTAAAACTGCAGAATTCCCTCAAGACCCTACTGTCCTCTGAGAGGTAGACATGGAACAGCCATGGTGCTGGCACATGGTACCAGTCAGGGGCTTGTGTCCTTCCTTCATCTCAGAGCCCCAGTCTACTAGCCTGACAGAGCTCTCAACAGAGCAAGTAGGAAGGGAACAGGTTTGTCAAATGTGTGGGACTGCCCTCACATCTCTAGGTCCTACACAATCGCAGCTATAAAACTTAGACAGGAAATGTCATAACACTTGGTCATCCTGGTCTTGAGGTGTGTTTCCCTCAGTTTTTCACTCAAGGCTGGATCGCTACCACTTGAACCATACCTCCAGATCCAACTTTTTTTTTGCTTAATTGGAGATAAGAGTCTCGTGGATTTGTCTATCCAGGCTGGCTTTGAACCCCAATTCTCAGGTCTCAGCCTCCTGAATAACTAGGTTTACAGGCATGAACCACCAGCAACATCCATTCTTTCTTTCAGCAAATATTTAGTGTACTCCTGTGTACTGTACTAGTAGTCCCAAATGATAGATCACAGGCTTGATTTTCAGGAGGTCATTTTTTCCCCCATAAGGGGTCAGTGTGGAGATTAGAGATGCTTTTGTGTGTGTGTGTGTGTGTTGGTCTTGAACTCTGAGCCCAGGTGCTATCACTGAACAAGGATAGCAATCCACCACTTGAGCTAAAGCTCCACTTCTGGCTTTTTTGGTAATTGATTGGTGATAGTCTCATGAACTTTTCTGTCTGATCTGGCTTCCAACTGTGATTCTCAGATCTCAGCCTCCTAAGTAGCTAGGATTTACAGGTGTGAGCCACCAGCACTCAGTAGGATATGCCTTTTTTGTCTCTGGATATCAGAGCATTTGTGAAGGAAATGGACTCACAGACTGTCACTCATCTCTGATAACACTTATTTCAGATATATTCAAGCTTCTTTGGGTAGATTATAGTTTTGTATGATTGAGTGTGTCCGCATGTATTTGAACAATCTAACCATGTATCTCTTAAATTCTTTATTAAATATAACTTTATTGTGGTAAGAACATTTAATATGAAATTTCTCTTAACAAATGTTTAAATGTACACTATCATGTTGTTGATGATAGAAAACAATGTTGTACAACCCATCTCTAGAACTTTTCATCCTATATAACTGAAGTTTTATACATGATTAGTAGCAACCCCAATTTTCTCCACCCCAGGCAACCACCATTTGATGCTTTGATTCCACGAATTTCATTGAGATTCCACAAGTGGGGTCATGACCATTTGACTTTTGTCTTTTTGTGACTGATTTGATTCTCTTTTAACACAGTGTTCTTCAAGTTATTCACGTGGCTACTTAGGGCAGAATTTTCTTCCTTTATGAGGCTGAATAGTAGCTCATTGTACATAAAGAACACTTTCCTTTTCTTTCTGTGCCAATTCTGGGGCTTGAACCTAGGACCTGGATTCTGCCCCCTGAGCTTTTGTGCTCAAGGCTAGTGTACTACCACTTGAGCCACAGTTCCACTTCCAGCTTATTGATGGCTAATTGGAGATCAGGATGTCACAGACGTTCCTGCCTGG